GTTTAGCAGATTCGATTTATTAACTGTAAAACTATTTTTATGTTTTTTTCAGTTACTCGAATTTTATTGCAATTTGATTTTTTTCTACGCACGCTAAAATATTTAACTTCATTTCTACAATTAAAACGGGAAGTCCTTTTTCTTGTGAAATATTCATTAACAATTGAATCATCAACATGAAATTATTTAATGCTGTTGCTGCTGTGAATGGTGCCAATTGACGGAATTTGCTTATCAGGATATTTAGCAGCAAATACATCCTGTGATTATTGAAATACATCTGTAACATTTCCATTTTTCCTTTCTTTGTATACTTTTTATTAAAAATATAATTAAATAAATCTATTGACGTTTATTGAAAAACATTTGAAAAAGATGAAAGTAAGACTGGTTGTATAGTTTAAGGGGTAGGTCTATAGTATGTTTATGAATTGAACATAGGAGACTTGTGTTATATTATGCTTGTATGTTCGGAGTTAAAATTTACGCACGGCGTGTACAAACATTTTTTATTTACAAGGGTACAAATACGGTCTAACGTTCCATTTCTAGATACACAATATATTTGTGGTGCTTTGATTTGTTGTTGGTGCCCCCTAATAGTTTTCAGCATTAAAACAATGTTGCACAATATCGAATCCAAGTGACCATGAATAATACCATCTTATACATTTAATGTTTATACTAAATCGATGGTGTTTCAAACTACTTTTAAAATTATTAAAATAGCTACATGAAACGGTAAGAGGGGAAAAAGTCCCTTCATCAGTCTTGTTTTCATTTGCCATAGTAGCGCTCTATTGGATTCAGTGTATCTATTGCTCTTGTCTCTTTGACAATATTACATTTCCCAAATCCAGCTATATAATTTTATCATTTCGTTCAACATACCTGAGACAGTAAAACCATTGACTAATTGGGGGGGTATTAGTCAATGCTTGTAATACATGTCTACATGTTATGTTTTTTTAAATAAATAATACATGCAAATTCAAACTTAATTCTGATAAATACAAAAATCTACCTACACCAACAATTTAAATCAGTACCAATGTTATTTTGTTTTGAGTATATCAGATCAAAGAGCTCTGTGAAATGTGAATTAATGTTTAACTGCATTTCATCCGCTTCACATCTAGAAATCGACTTTTTATTAACTCAAGGAAGTGGCTACTGTTATATTGGTTGGTTTTGCCAGAGGCGACTGTAGGTATCTGGCAGTTTTTTTTTTTACCAAAACAGGTTAATGTGATTAAAGAACAAATTAATTGTTTTAGGTTCTCACTTAGGAAACCAAGAAAATACCCGTTGCCTGGGTAACTATTTAATAAAGGGTGGCTATAAAGAATTTGACGACTTGAAGGTATCTACACAGGAACCGGTTGTAGCTGAACCAGAAATTATCGGTGGAATACCTTTAGACGAATCTTGCCAATTTTTACTTCTTATGTCGGCCGGTTTATACAAGTCCATTGAGGAGGCGACTGGAACGGATCAAGTCAACAAGTACATTGCACAACTGGTAGTTGAACAAGTACGGCTTGATTCATGTGCTATTCTTTCTTAACAACATTTCTTCTAGTTTCGAGAGCAGGGAACACTCACGGGTGTTGCACAGGCAGTCGTCGATCGTGCTGTGCGACTACACCATGACTGGTATATGTCAAATTCCTTTAAGACGGGTTCCACAAAACGTGAAGATATAACATTAATTGTTAGAAATTTTAATTTCCCAATGCCAAATGCGATCACTTCTCCCACAAATCCCACAGTTACTTTTAATCCTATTTTAAACACAATTCCTAATAATTCCTCTAGTACCTTAACGTCAGTAAATGATAATTACAGGAGTAGTAGTATTGTAAGCACTAATGATACCTCAAGCAGCTCAGATGTTCGAAGCGACAGTGATATTGGTGTCGGTCCTGACCAAAGAATTGAAGGATATGTGGATTTTTCCAGCTATTACAAAAATGTCGAAATTGCTCGACAAAATGGTACTCTTCCAAAAGGGATTGATTTTTAAATATTTTATAAGATCTACTTTTTACAGATCTTTAGATAACTAAATGCTATTTCTTTTGTAGCTGTATTTAATAAATCCTAATTTCGGGGTGTGTATAGTAGTATATCCGCAACAAAAACAAAAGAGAGTCTTTCATTTGTCATGTCTGTCACAAAATTAGTTTAGTGAATAATATAACTTATAAGAACCACAATGCAACAAAATAATAATTGCACAAACGAAAAGATGTTAAGAGGTTTTATTTGATGTACTGATAAATACATAGGAAGCAAGTGCAATGTATTTAAATTTGGTTTGTGGAACTGCTCTTCATTTGTTTTCTTAGCGTCCTGTTTTAAACTTTACGTTTTTGTTTAAATTTCCACAACTATACTGCGATTGGTCTAAACTGTATCCGTAATTATAACCTATATGATATTATTGTAAAGAGAATTTCAAGCCCTTTAAGAATGTTACAGAAAAATGGATCCGTTCTATCATAGACTATCCTCTTCGTCTTTGGTTCTATTTAAAAAAAAATTGTTTTCTGATGCTCTTTTGTTTTTTTGAATATGTACCTTCATCAGAAAGTATTTTTGCCTCTTACACTTTTTTCCTATCTCCAATAATAAAAAAAAGTACCTATATACGCTTGGACACGCAAAATCAATCACGCTGTATTGATATGCCTCTGCTACTCATCGGCTAATAACCCTCTTCCACAGACCATCCCTCTTCTGGCCTCTTTAATCTTAAGGATAAGGGGTAAAGACCCAGAAAAGGGTTACTAATAGCATTGATTATATATATACTACGAACGTAAGTATATAATCAATGCTACTAACTATTATAGTAGTAATTTCTGGGGTAAAGAGTAGGGAATAATAATGGTAGTGTCTACTGTACTGCGCGTTTAGGACACATCCCAGTGTGTGACCACTACCGTTGGCGTATATAGAGACACCGTTCAAACGACAAGTACCGAAAGTGTTTTACATGTGTAACAACAAGAACTTTCGATGTCCAGCAAATTTTAAAAAACATTGTTAGTTTTTGTATAGCAAGGAAAATGGTGTGTTTAGTTTTGCAAGTTAGCTTTTTATCGGTTCATTTTGTGTTGGAATTGGATTGAAGGTCACTTTTTGCTTTCTGTAATCCATTGTGCTAGTTCAATTTGTTCTAATTGTGAATTGGTGCCAACCAGCCTGAAGTTACATTCGCTTTTTTTTTAAGGACATTCGCTTTTGGGGTAGTACCAACCTAAACGGGAAAACAAAAAATAACTAGGACCGGGCTGAAGTTACATTCGTTTTTTTTTTTGTTTTTTTTTTATCAATGGCCATCGAAAGTGATGGCACCGGGACCAATTCTCATCCCCTTTTCGGAAAATAGCCCTAAACCCCCGACAAATTCGTCCCCGAAGTTGACAAATTCCGCAAGTGTGTGAATGAGTGAGTTTTGCACGCGGAGGATAACGACGCCGTGGAGGCCCAAGGGCCCACCTAAAACCCCCTACCTGTAGTTTTTCGAAAAGTGCCCCACAGTTCGAGAAATTCCCTTTTGTTTGGTCAATGGCGCGGTATACGAATAATGCAAGTTGTAAATCAAAATTGATTTATTAAAATTGAGTGAGTTTTGCACGCGGAGGATAAGGACGCCGTGGAGGCCCATGGGCCCACCTAAAACCCCCTACCTGTAGTTTTTCGAAAAGTGCCCCACAGTTCGAGAAATTCCCTTTTGTTTGGTCAATGGCGCGGTATACGAATAATGCAAGTTGCAATTCAAAATTGATTTATTAAAATTGAGTGAGTTTTGCACGCGGAGGATAAAAGCGCCGTGGAGGGCCAAGGGCTCACCTAAAACCCTCTACTGTCGTTTATCGAACAGTGCCCCACAGTTCGAAAATTCCCTTTTGTTTGGTCAATGGCGCGGTATACGAATAATGCAAGTTGCAATTCATTAATTCAAAATTGATTTATTAAAATTGAGTGAGTTTTACACGCGGAGGGTAAGGGCGCCGTGGAGGCCCAAGGGCTCCCCTAAAAACCTTTAACTGTCGTTTTTCGAAAAGTACCCCACAGTTCGAAAAATTCCCTTTTGTTTGATCAATGGCGCGGTATACAAATAATGCAAGTTGCAATTCAAAATTGATTTATTGAAATTGAGTGAGTTTTGCACGCGGAAAGCAAGGGCGCCGTGGAGGCCGAAGGGCCCACCTAAAACCCTCTATCTGTCGTTTTTCGAATAGCACCCCACAGTTCGAAAAATTCCCTTTTGTTTGGTCAATGGCGCGGTATACGAATAATGCAAGTTGCAATTCAAAATTGATTTATTAAAATTGAGTGAGTTTTGCACGCGGAGGATAAGTACACCGTGGAGGCCCAAGGGCCCACCTAAAACCCCCTACCTGTAGTTTTTCGAAAAGTGCCCCACAGTTCGAGAAATTCCCTTTTGTTTGGTCAATGGCGCGGTATACGAATAATGCAAGTTGTAATTCAAAATTGATTTATTAAAATTGAGTGAGTTTTGCACGCGGAGGATAAGGACGCCGTGGAGGCCCAAGGGCCCACCTAAAACCCTCTACCTGTAGTTTGTCGAAAAGTGCCCCACAGTTCGAGAAATTCCCTTTTGTTTGGTCAATGGCGCGGTATACGAATAATGCAAGTTGCAATTCAAAATTGATTTATTAAAATTGAGTGAGTTTTGCACGCGGAGGATAAGGGCGCCGTGGAGGCCCAAGGGCCCACCTAAAACCCTCTACCTGTCGTTTTTCGAAAAGTGACCCACAGTTCGAGAAATTCCATTTTGTTGGCGGTATACGAATAATGCAAGTTGCAATTCAAAATTGATTTATTAACATTGAGTGAGTTTTGCACGCGGAGGATAA